TTATGATAGGATAAGGGAGCTGGAAAATGGTGAAGCCTGTGGGCCCTCAGCAGAACTCAGAATATCTATTAGAGAGGCTGATTGCTCTAACAGTCTTTGTGATTCAGTATACTCAGGGTTTATTTCTCAAACACAGAAGGATGTGGATCTCCTGGATGGTCCACCTCCAGGCTGACTCTGGGTCCCAGGCACCTTCTGTAGAGTCAGGACACCATTCCCCAAGGCCTAGGAGGCTCTCCCTGGAACTTTCACAGTCAACTGGCCAAAGAGGAAATAGAAAGAACATCAAAGATAACTCAGGAGGTCCAGGGGCCAGGACTAACGGTGGCTCACACTTCTGCTTTGACTGGAATTAGTACAGGGCCCCAGCCAGGTGAGGGGACTGGAACACACAGTCTTCCTGGGTGTGCAAGGGGAGGATGTTATGGTTTGAATACATACCAGGAGTGGGGAACCTTTTTTCTGCCGAGGGCCATTTGGATATTGTTAACAGCATTCGAAGGCCATAGAAAGTTACCCACTTAAAAACCAGCCTCCTATATTTGGTCAAACATTTCATTAGCTCACCCCTAATGCCTTGGCAGGGCCAGACCAGATGATTTTGTGGGTCTTATATGGCCCGAGGGTTAGATGTTCCCCATCCTCTCTTTTGTCTGACAGGCCCAGATGGTCTGCACAGCCAGGCAAAGCAGCAGTTCCCCATGATGCTCCTATGACAAGAGCCTCTCTAACCATTTAAAAAGCTACATCTTAGAGGCAGCTAGCCAGGAGCCACTGTACAGAAGTGACTTCTTCCCTAAGAGGCTGTGACCCGCCTAATCTTGACCCTAATCCTGTTGCTGGCTCTCAGAAAGATCCCAGGCGTGTAGTGCCTCAGTGATGCACACGGCCCCGGTTCCTTGTTGCAGGTCAGCTGACCCAGCAGGAGCAACTTGAGTTGTGGCCAGGAGAAGCCAGCCTGGGCAGCTCCTGAGGTCACCAGCCTGCTGGGCAGTTTGTTACCTGGATGACCCATCTTCCCCATCTATTCAGGACTCGCCCCATTCCTCACTTCCGCTTGCACTTTCCAGGATGTGTCCATCCCAGCCAGAAAGCCCTTTGGAATTCAGAAGAGTGTATCCCTAACACTCCTGCCCTGTCCCTCCTTCTGCTCCCAGAGGGGCTATTCTCTGCCCCAAGCTCCTGCTGGAAGTGAGCCACTGGGAGGGGTTGCTCCAGGCTGTGCAGACGCTGGGAGGGACCAGAAGGGGAAACTGGAAGCCTCATCTTCATACTACAGCCTTCTTATTTGTCTGAGGTGGATTCCCAGAATAGCAAACAACCAGACACACCCATATTTAAATGTTAGCACCAAGGCACTCTGGACCAGAAAGAAAACTGTGTTTCTGTTTGGATGGCTGGGCTCATCTATTCATGAGGATAACGAGAAGTTGGCAGGCCTCTGGTTCCATGGCTGTGGAATTGTGACAGAACGTCCTCTGCCTGCTCCCTCTCTTGTTTGTTTCTATCCCTGTTTAGTTTTTCCCCTCAGTTGAAAGACCACATTCTCTCTAAATGACTGGAATGGGAGAGTGCTCACTGCTCCCTCAGGCATGGGCTTGGCAGCTTGGGAGCGGAAGCTCGCTGAGGGAAGTGGTGTGTGGAAAATGGTGTGGGGTTGCTGTGGGTGCTGGTGACAGCGGAGGAGGCCCTGGTGGTGGGACGGAGGCAGATGGGGCTGACAGCTGGAGTGAAGCGCCAGGCAGGAAGGAGCGGGCTTCCAGGGTGATTAGATGCGGACTGTGCCTTTGGCCATTGGTGCATTAACCACTGATGCTATTTGCTGCTTTCCTCCAAATCGGGTTAAACTACTGAAGACAGCCGAAACAGGTTTGGCTCAGTGGATAGAGCATCGGCTTGCAGACTAGAGGGTCCCAGGTTTGATTCCGATCAAGGGCATGCACCTTGGTTGCGGGCACATCCCCAGTGGGGGGGGGGGGGGGGGGGGAGGGGTGCAGGAGGTAACTGATGGGTGATTCTCATCGATGTTTCTAACTCTCTATCCCTCTCTTTTCCTCTCTGTAAAAAGATCAATAAAATATATTTAACAAACAAACAAAAAGACAACAACAAAAAACAAACAAACAAAAATAACTGAAGACATTTAGAAGAATCCACAAGACAGAGAAAAAAATGGGAAGGTGAAGGATGGTTGATGTGACCCAACCAGTGCAGAGTGTTTGAAAAGAATGGGGGTACAGAGAGCCAGTAAGTGGGAGCTGCTGGGAGTGAATGCTGACAGAAGGTTGATGCTGGCCCCACACTGCCCCTCCTTGTGCCTTTCCCAATTTATTTCAAAGGAGAAAATGGAAAACTCCCTTCTGTCTCCAAGGGGCTACTGTCCTGGCTGTCTCGACCTCTTACTCGGAGTCTTAGGTGAAACAGAACAATTCGTGTGAGTGTGTGACAAAGCTAGGCAGAGGGACGTTCTGCACCTGTTGGTACTTGAGGCGCAGGAGCATATACCCTTGTGGGTGGGTGTGGATGTTTGGGTGTTATGCTGTGTAAAGAAATCCCCTTTCTAGAGATTGTCTCAATGTCCTGGATACTCCCCCCCCCCAAAAAAAAAAAATACATTATTTTAATGAAGTTAAAAGTGATCTTAAAACTCCATTTAAAAGTTAACATTCTGCCGAAACCAGTTTGGCTCAGGGGATAGAGCTTCAGCCTGCAGACTGAAAGGTCCCAGGTTCGATTCCAGTCAGGGCACATACATTGGTTGCAGGCACATCCCTAGTGGGGGTTGTGCAGGAGGCAGCTGATCGACGTTTCTCTCTTATTGATGTTTCTAGCTTTCTATCCCTCTCCTTTCCTATCTATAAAAAAATCAATGAAATATATTAAAAAAATAAAAGTTAACATTGTTAGGTCACACACACAACCTTTGGCTAATACAAAACTCATATTCACGTGCACACTCAAAGGATAAAGTTAATCTCTTCAGATTGCACACATCTTTACCAGCCTGAGAGATGGCATTTTCTCCATTTGGTTCATTCCCTGGTTTCTGTTACTTCTGTATTATCAAAGAAGAGACCGCAAAAAAAGATAGCCATCATGTGAGCCCACATAATGAGAAAGTAAGCAAAATCAATGAAATTACAGTTTATCTCCCAATACCTTTTAAACCAGTACTTCCATCTTCTTTGCCTTCTAAATGTACTGCTGAGACTAATGAAAAGTGGGAGAATTAACGAATCTGGCTGTTTCTTCTCCCCCCTTCCCCCCTTCCTTTTCTCTTCAGTGTCTGATGGAGATGCTGTAATTAGCAATATAATGAGAAGTGAAGGGTAAACAAGAAGAATGATTCCCAGAACATGCATTTAGAGATGGAAGACCGGGACAGGAAAGCCAGCCTGAGTTAAAATATTCTCTATGCCTGACCGAAGGGGGTCTTGCCTAGAGTTCCACACTCACATGCTTCTAGGCAATGAAGGAGGAAACTGTTGGCACCGTTGCCTTCAGAGGAGCTGACTTATTCCTAAGTCTGGACACCTGTCGCTCTACCTTTCTGACATGGAGGTTTGGTTCTCTGTTTGAGGCTCAAATCTAAAGCTCAAATATTGGATCTCTCTTTCTACACATTCCTTTTAAAGATAAATAATTGGCAAATAAGCTCACATTGGAAACTTATCTTTTAACAGTAATTGAGGGTTTATTTAAAGGCTTTAGATCTAGAAGCCTCTTTGCATATTTAATGCTAGTCCCACACTCTCCTTTTGATAATGAAGAGAGTGAGTCTGAGAGGTCAGATTGTTTGTTGGAAGCCTAGCTCTTCAGGCAGGACTCCTGAGACCCAGCCCTGTGCTTTCTTCAGGGCTCGGTGGCCAGGGACGTTTTCCTGCTGCTTCTGTGATATTGTTTAAGAGCTGCTTCCTGTGACAGAACCTGGCGAGGTCCTGAAGTGCTTTTGAATGTTCACTCCTTTCTCTCCCTATTCTGGTTTTTAAAGAGGCAACTCCCTTTTCTCAGTTGACTGGAATATCCCAGCCTGGCACCCATTTGCCATCCATTGAGAAGGAACGGAGAGCCCCTCCTCATGCGCTGCCCTCAGAGCCTGTCATTGCCTGCTTCCGTTCTGACCCTACCAGGTCAGAGGCCTCTAGACTATATCCTATGTCTCTTCCCTCCATTGAGTGTTTTAGATAAAGTCAACTTAAAGTGAAATGTGTCTAAGCCTTTACTTTACGTCCTCTCACTTATTACCTGTAATAGTATTCTTACGCTCGCTTGGTTTATGTTAATGGGGGAACTGAACTTGTAAGTGGTTCGCCTGTCAGTTATTAAAATAGCTACTTTTGATCTTGGAGATGAAACAAATGCTTCAGAAACCACCTTCAGATATAAAAATTTTAAATGTCCTGTTACCAGGATGATGGAATTAAAAATAAAGAAATAACCTGGCAGGCATGGCTTAGTGGTTGAATGGTGACCTATGAACCAGGAAGTCATGGTTTGATTCCTGGTCACAGCACAGGATTATGTGCAGCAGCTAATCAATGATTTTCTGTCTCATCATTGATGTTTCTCTCTCTCTCTCTCTCTCTCTCTCTCTCTCTCTCTCTCTCTCTCTGTCCCCTCCCTCCTTCCCTCTCTGAAATAAATAAAAATGTGTTTTTAAAAAATAAAGAAATAATCTATTTCACTGGAATGCTCTTCTCCAATCACAGGTGAAGGTAAGAGCTAACCCAATTGCCTAAAAACTCATCTGAACAAGTGTCTTGTTTTGAATAACTGCAGGGAAAGAGTCAGAAAGCAGTTTTTTGCTGCAACATCTTTGTTTCTAAAGTGTGATTTTTTATATTTCATGATTGTTGACTTTTTTCTTCTTGACAAACACACACACACAAAATCTGCTAGGTTATATTCACACATTAACAGCTGCCACAGACCCTCTCGGTATTCTGTAAATGAGATTTCTAGTGTGAAATCATTAATTAAACTATTTTTTTTTCTTCCAGAACAAGGAAAGAGCAACCTGCATGTAACGTCATTAGAAGATGCAGAATGCCGGAGAGCCAAGGAACGCCTTTCTAATGGGAACAGTCGAGTGTCCGTTTCCAAGGCTTCCCGAAACATCCCAAGGAGACACACCCTAGGTGGGCCCCGAAGTTCCAAAGAAATACTGGGAATGCAAACATCTGAGATGGATAGGAAGAGAGAAGCTTTCCTGGAACATCTCAAGCAGAAATACCCCCATCATGCCACAGCAATCATGGGCCACCAGGAGAGGCTGAGAGACCAGGTACGAATGTGCTACCTTTTTGCTCTGCAAAGCTCATTCTTTAATGAACATGACGGAAACCAAAGTGACCTTTGGTTTAAAAGAGAAAAAATAATTGAGTGAACTGTGCCCACCACTAAGTTTTCCAGATCTCAAGAAGAGAGATCCAGAGAGTGGGCAGTTCTCCCAAAAGGGTCCCATCATCACCCACAAATGCATCTGAAGTGCAGGCAGTGAAGGGGTATTACTTGACTGAGTTAAAGCAGAGGATCAACTGCTGTGCACCCTGTTAGCACCGAGTGCTTGGCACAGGGAACGAATGAGTTATATAAATAGTTTTCAGGGTCAAACAGAGCACAGCGGGACACACTTGAGATAAACCCCCTTTCCTTAAGAAGCTGACATTAAGGTTTTGTTTCTGCTCACTTTTGTTTTTCCCTTTTTAATCACAGATGTTTTCCTTTTACATGCTTGGTTTTCTGCTGTCTTCAGCTCCCTGTTTTCTCAGGTTATCTTGACAGCCAGACAGATATCACCCAAGCGTTTCTTGTCTGCGTGCAATTACCTTTTAGCTGACAGGAGGGAGGCCTCCTCCTGCGACCTCATAGGCATGTTATCAGATTGACCTTTCAGGATGGGAACATAGCAAAGGACTGAGCACTGAGTGATTCTGGTGGTCTGGGAAGAGGGCGGGCTGTTAGTGATTTCCAGCCCTTCAGGTAGAGAGGCATGCACAGTGTTTTAAGGCTGCTCTCTTGCAAATTAGTTAGTTACAAAAGTGATGGCTAACTAACTCAGCTTTTGAGCATCCATGGAAGCGGAGATTATCATCAGTTTAAATAATTTAAACCTATGCTTTATCTCCATTTCATTTTTTCCCCTTTAAATTCAACCTCCTAATCTATAAAATCTTTATCAGAGTGCCTAAAACCGTGACACGTGCTTTATGGACTACGTGTCTGCTTTCTGTTCGCATTGCCAAAGGGCAGTTGACCTAGAGAGGAGAAAAGGAACTGCTTGATGTTGAGATGTGCAGATTAAGGAAAGGAAGGCTTATCTTTTCATTTCAAGCATACAGGCATGCTGTGGAGCTATTGTGGGTTGGGTTCCAGACCACTGTGATAAATGTGGTCATAATGTTTTTGCTTGTAGAGGGTCTTGTCTTCTGTTTGAAAACAGCACATCTGTCAAGGGCAATGAAGTGAAGTGCAGTAAAATGAGGTGCGCCTGTATATAGAAAATACCCCTATTTTTTATTTTTAAATTGAATTCGCTTATTTTTTTTTACCTTTCCCAGTTTTATTGCATTATAATTGATAAATAACATAAATACCATTGCTTTCTGTTAATTGATAAATAACATAAATACCATTGCTTTCTGTTGATACTATAGTCACGATCCATTTAAGTATTAGAATCGGCACCTCTCCCTATGTCACTTTATTTATTTATTTATTTTTTATTTATTTTATTTTATTTTTTTTTCCCCCTATGTCACTTTTTTGGTGAGACACCATATTTTATATAAAGCAATTCCCATTGAGGAAACTCACTTAAGGTAGTTACAATTGCACAATTTACTCAGAGTAAGCTGGGATTTGAATCCAGCTAAGTTTGAGATCAGAATCTTTGTTTATTCCACTGTTCTGTAGGTGGAAGACCACTGATTATAGAGACAAGGTAGTATGGCCTATATCTGGGATGTAATGGTCATGGAATGTGTGTGTGTGTGTGTGTGCATATGCACATGTGACCATGGGAACAAGGGTCAGGGTAAAGGAAGCTAGAAAACTGATTATGTGTTGAGTGAGGAGGGAAAATATTTTTTAACTTTAAAATATATTACTTTCTCTCTGAAATATAGAAATCAGTCTGTCAAAAATGATATGTTTCTCATGTCAAAAATATTCCAGTTATTATCATTACTGTTATTATTTGTGATGTCTTGATTATAGCTGCTACTGTGATGATGGTGCTTTTAGGTTAACACAGTTACATGGGGAGCCTAAATATAGCTCGAAGGTTGTAAAGGGTGAAGGTTGTAAAAGGTGCATGGTGTCTGATGACAGGGAATAATGATGTAGGTTAGTGGCCTCCAGCTCTGATCTCTTGTCACATATATCTCTGCCCTGGGTGTAGTCCAGCCGTGGCTGGCAGCTGCACCTTTGCTGGTAATTCAGGATGAATTTTTGTGTATTCCAACCTGACCACCCAGAAGGAGAAAGATTTTGATGCCTTGTTCTGTACATATATTTTTTATTCCGCTGCTTTGTTGCAAATGAACCTTAATCATCATTGTAAACATCAGAGATAAGCTCAGGCAGTGGTGTGTGATATTCCTATGAACAGCACTGTATCTAATGCCTTTTCCATTCTTTTCCTCCTGCCACTCATTTCCTCCCTCTGTCCTTTCCTCTTCTCCATGACACCCTTTGTTTCTGCCTGACCTTCTGACAATGGGTTAGCCCAGGCTTCCTTTGCAGGAAGATGCATGAGCTGCCATAAGGAGGGATTCAAACAGCACATGTCTGATGCTCTTCTCTAGATTCTCAATACCATGTTCTGGGAAGCTGTTTTCCTCACAGAGAAGTGGCCTTAGTGAGGAGAGTGCCATTGACTAAGATGCTAAAAATGCTGTATCCAGCACCTAACATGAAATATATATATATATATATATATATATATATATATATATATATATTTAAATTTTTATTGAATTTATCAGGGAGACATTAGTTAACAAAATTATATAGGTTTCAAGTGTACAATTCCATAATGCATCATCTGTATATTGTATTGTATGTTAACTACCCAAAGTCAAGTCTCCTTCCATCACCATTTGTCCCCCCTGTATTCCCTTCTACCTTCCTCTGTTATTGGTGTGGTGCCCTCTGTGTCCCCCCACCTGTTGCAGGTGGAAGTAGAATCCTTGCAATATCAGCAAGGAGAGGAATTTTCTGAGACTACAGGAGGATGAGTGATATTGATTTCTGTGGAATTAAACCCCTGGGTTTCCAAGGTCTCACTTCCTTCCATGTCACTGTGGAAAAAGCCCAGTCTTGTCTTCAGCAGTGCTAGGACTAAAGGCAGTGCCCAGAGTTGCCTCTCTGTATTAAAGCACAGACTAGTCCAGCATCTGGCTAGCGTGGTTTATATTCCCAGCTGCAGTCCATTGCTTTTGGGGTCCCCATGGCCATGGGCTGCTTAAGGTCACATGGCAGACTAGCTACCACATGGGCAAGTATAGGTCATAAGCAAGAAAGTGCAAGGGAGCAGGAGCACAAGAGAGAGAATCTTTTGTCTCAGGGATATAACTAGGAGCTTAACCAATCAATCAATCCTTCAGGATTTTTCATACTAGCAGTGGCTCCACCCCTTTAGCCAATTATCTTTTCCCCAGGTTAGACTGACTAACAAGCACCGTCCCTATGTCACCTGCCTTCACTGTGCATGTGCCACTTCCCCTTTGTTGGACCCCTTCCCCCAGTGCTGTGCAGCCAATGGGCCAGAGGCTCCTTGGGGAGTGAAATTGCAGCTTCCTGGTGAAGCTGCCCAGATGATCATGCTTGTAATGTTTGGCCTCCCCTTTGCTCTTTTCCTATCATTAATATTAATTACTACCTAATTATGACAGTAGCACCCCCCTTCCCTCTGGAAATCACCATATTGTTATCTGTGTCTATGATTTTTTTTTTTCTTAATCCCTTCACCTTTTTCACCCATTACACAAAATATTTTGATACTACAGGGATCTAGATTCCAATCATTACACAAAATATTTTGAAACTAAGGGAGTCTAGATTCTAATTCCTTGGTATTATATAAAAAGAGAATTAGAGCACACTTTATATTTTGAACATTGAATTTAAACACTGGAAGATTCATGGTTGAAAACTTAGAGTCAAGTCTTTGAAATTTAGTCAACCAAGAATTTTCCAAGGTCTAAATTATTGTAAAGCAAACTTGATTTCTTTTCACTATCTTAAAAAATGCAGATAACCATTATTGCAGCAAAGTGCTTATCTACATAAGAGCAGCTGTCATTACCACTGACTCCCCCAACCACCTGTGCAGGGCAATCAGACTGTGATGCTCTATCACCTGGCAGCGAAGGCTTGGCTCTGGAGTCAGGCAGGGCCGAGGTGGTATCTAGCCCCCACTCACGTGCTAATTGTGTGACTTGGAGCTATTGGCTTAATCTCTGTCTCAGTTCCCTTATTTGTCAAAAGACAATAATAACTATATCATAAAGTATTGAGGAAGAAAATGATGGATCCTTTTTTTGCTACAATGACAGGTCTCAGCATTACACTATTCTGGTTTATGATGTCCAAAAGAAAAGTCTCAGAGGCTCTACTGGTATTTTCAAATTAGTATTTAAATTCATTTTATTTTTTTATTACCACATATTTAAGTTACCCAAAGAAGTTTACTTTTTCTATTGACAGAACAAAATTGTATTATATTTCTGAAAGTTACTTGTATTTTTCCTTAATGAATACTTAAAATTTGGATTTCTTTTACTTATTCATAATATATATATTTGTATGTGTGTTTGTGTGTAAATACATGTGTGTGTGTGTGTGTGTGTGTGTGTGTGTATAGATAGATAGATAGATAGATAGATAGATAGATACAAACAATGACACATGACTCCTGCTTTCAAATCAGTATAAGAAATAAGGGACCCAGACTAGTCTCTCAAGATCCAGCCCAAATTTCCCACCTTGTGAGCTGTTCACAATATCATGCGGTATTTCCCACCTTGTGAGCTGTGGCACATAATCATGCCTTCATTGTACATTTCTTCATATTTCTTTCTCCCATCCAGAATATGTTTTTAGAGCACAAAAACCTCGTCTTAATCACCTTTGTAAATGCAGAATTTAAGGAGTAGCAACCTAAACTAGACATGATCAATTTTTGTTGAATGAAAGTATGAGCCAATATTTTTAATACAATTAGAAGGTGATAGATACTATTGAGTGGTACAGGTAGAGAGGGGTGGGGAATTGAGATCG